AAAAAAAAAAAAAAAATGGCAGAAAGAAAAGCATATCAAGAAAGAATATATTGCTGGACATGACAGTACACACCGATAATCCCAACACTCAGGAGGAAGATTGGTAAGATTGCTGTGAGTTAGAGGTCCGCCTAGGCTATATTGAGAGTTAAAGGCCATTCTGAACTACATAGTGAGACCTTATCCTAAAAAGAAAAGAGAGATATTTGTGTAGTAAGCAAAAGAATTCCTTAAATTATAAAGAAAAGGTAAAATCTTAATTTCATTGCTAACTAATCTCTGCAGTTACTAGAGAATTTGTATGAAATAAATCCAAGATTTTTTTTAAGCCATTAACACAGAATTTATGTGATTTGGTACACTTCTATACTTAACTGTGGGATCCTCCAGAATCAGGCCCCATTATGCATAGCATCTGGCAAGTAATGCTGACTACAAATGAAAGTAAGCACATGTGTTTGTAATAACTTCTCAAAAGAACCACAAAAAATTAGCCGTGATCCCACCACTTGGGAAACAGCAGGCGTGCAAGTTCAAGGACATCACAGGCTACATAGCAAGTTCAAAACCAGCCTGGACAACAAAGTGAGACTTGTCTTAAAAAAAAAAAAAAAATAGGGCGGGGATCTAGCTCAATGGTTCTGTTGCCTGCCTTGCAAGCAAAAGGATCCGAGTTTGATCCCCAGTACCAAAAACAAAAAATATGAACTGTGGGTGTGGTGGCACATGCCTGCAATCCTAGCACATGAGGGGCTCCAGCAGGACTGCTACAAGTACAAAGACAGCCTGGATTACACAGCAAGATCTTATCTCAAAAAAACCAAACCAAACAAACAAAAAATGTAAAAGGGCTGGGGATGTAGCTCATTGGTGCCAAATGTGCCTGGCAAGCACAAGGTCCTGAGTTCAATCCCCATATGTGTGTGTGTGTGTGTGTGTGTGTGTGTGTGTGTGTAAAAGAACCAGAGAGAGAATGCTTTATGACTGTGATATACACTGGGATATTGTCAGAAATGCAGAAATTCAAGCTCTATCCAGAACTACTAAATCAAACCTTTATATTTACTGAGGCACCAGGTGATAGAAAAATAAATGAAGACATCATATCAGAGCAGTGTAAATACTCTTCAAACCCCCACTAGAAGAAATTTTGCAGCTGAACACTAGCACCAAGGTTCTGTGAAGCTCCTTAACGGATATGTCACACACAGGAAGTACACTGGTTAGGTAAAGTCAATTTCCTCTTTAGAAATAATTCAAAAGCTCCTTCAGAGTTACACAGACTCACTATGTTTTGTTTTTGTTTCAGAACCTTGGGGAGGAAAAAAGGAAGTGAACACAAACAGCAAGGGGCTATGAAGGGAAGAATTCATTTCCAAACGATCTCCTGAGCTCTCACATCAATTCTGATTGTTTGGTTCACAGATTCCCAGAATTCCCATTTAAAACTTGATACTATCTTGGGATCAGTTGCTTCTCTCAGAAATAATTTTTTTTTGGTACCAGGTATCGAACTCAGGACCTTGTGATTGTGAGTCAGGCGCAGTGCCACAGAGCTAAATCCCTGGCCCAATAATTCATAATTTAAAGCTCAGTCACTTTTAACACAACCAGATAACTAATCAAATTCATTTGCTTGGCTTTATGAAACTAATTTTAAAAAGAAGACCACTCTGGAGTGAATTTCCTTTGGTTTGGTATCTCAATGGTTCCAACATATCCCTCATCAACTCACTAAATTTTCACAACTCCTAGAAGAGTCTGCATTGTTAGGGTGGAAGAATGCAGTTCCAAGAAGTGATTTTACCCAAGGCTTCACACTGACCCAAACAATCTGACTCCAAGAACCATGGTGTGATCACACTAAATTGTTTGGTACTTAGAGATCCCTTTTTGTTTGTTTGTTTTTGTTCTTTGGGTGTTTCCAGGCTGGCCCTAAACTCTCTATGTAGCCCAGGCTAGCCTCAAACTCATGGTGATCCTCCTGCCGCAGCCTCCCCAGTGCTGGGACTACAGGCATGCACCACCATGTCCAGCTCTAGAGATCCCATTTTAGAGTTCCTAGGAACTCCTGTAAATTATGTACTGTGAGGCCAGGGATTTAGTGCAGTGGTTCTACCACCTGCCTCACAAGCACAAGGACCTGAGTTCAATCCCTGGTACTGAAAAAAAAAAAAAAAAAAAAAAGTACTATTCTGAACTCATTTTCCACTAAAAATTCTATTGTAACAATTAAAACTTAAAGTTTCCACCACAGCTGAAGCCAGCCCCAAAGTAACTGTTTTAAAAGTTTTAAAAGGATGATGAACTCACAGAATTCCATCTGTCAATATAAGCCACCCAAAAGCCTCAGGAATATTTATTTTACAAATGCCCAAACCAATATGACTGACATGTTCTCCTTCAGAGTCTAGTGCTAAAAAGTCATAAAGCCTATGTAGAACCTATAGAACGCTGTAAAGAGTGATTGCTTAGTATATGTGAGGCCCAGAGTCCAGCTCTCAGCTGGAAGTGGTTAACTAAGCAGTTGAGGAAGATAGTAAATTTGAGCCCAGACTGGGAAACTTAGAAAGACCCTGTCTCAAAAATTTAAAATAAGGGAAATAAGGGGGGAGGAG